AAGCGCCGGCCAGGTATCTTATCTGATCCACATCTGTGCCATCACACTATTAATTAAAAACCCATCAACACATTTAAGGAGACGTAAGATACAAAGTGTTATGTATTTGAAAGTAGTATATTTTAAATACATGGTATTTTGGAGACGGAGTTTGTTCGGGATGCAAACTTTACATTTCTCTCAAAACTCACGTATTACAATGGAAGTATGACAGCTATAAGATTTACAAGGTAATACGGAGCCTAGCGCTCCTGGTCGCTATTTCAAAGTGAGAGAAGAGTAAAAGCGAGTGTTGTATTATATTGTAAAACAATGTTACTGTCTGCGCTCTGCACTTATTTTTCAAATAATAAATACCTGATTACGTTCTGTAAAAATCCACACAAAATACAAGGTAAAGTTCAAATATAACGTTTATCTTCAATGAAACATGTGTTCCATCACCAACAGCTGGGATATCGGCCACTGTGATTCTATAAAAACTCACAATTCGTAACACTTGAACAAATTTAAAACTTTAAGGAAATACAGTACACAGACACATCTGTTACAACGCCAAAATAACATCTGTCAGTGTCCGAGTTACAAATATAACAATGTCACCAATGGTATGCAATGCCTTGGATGATAAGTACGGTACGTGTATGATCCCGAATGTTAATGTCTAAGTTAGCTCATAGCCATTGTGATGATCATTGGGCAGATGATCACAGATCATTGTGCATACCGTACCTTCCTTGATGCAGAACATGTACCCAAATGAGGGCAAATGACATGGACTTGCCAACCACAAAGGACCCACAAAAATCAAGTAACGACTACAATTCCAGCACATTCTCGACAGTATATTAATACTTTTAGTTTTATATATATAAATATTATATCTATATTATTATCTACTAAGAGTAAGTATATAAACTATAATGCTTTTGGACACGAAGGGAAACACACAACGTAAGGCTTGAAATCTTCGTAAAACTACATCACTATAGAGCCTGTAAAAACGTAAAAGTATATAATTAAACTACATTAACATCAGCTCTCAAACTATTGTCATTTGCAGGACCAAGTTAGCTGTTACAACGCTGTTCAGTGTTCAAGTCTTGTTACAGCTAGTTTGTAGTTATACAAGTGCAGCCATGAATATTTATAGTTATAGCAGCAGTAATCGTGCGTATCTGCTTTTTGTAGCATTAAAGTCACACGTGACACTAATACGTTACACGTGACTAACCGTAAATGTGCCTACACCAGGAGTCATCAGCCAAATGGACAGCGGTAGTTCATGAATAGAACTATGAGCTTATGAGGAAACAAAGGACTTGCTAATGCTACTTTTCTAAAGTCTATAAGTCTGTGAATTAAAATTGGGCATTATCACATTAAGGAGCTGTGCATCGGATTTTCACATGGCTCCTTTAAAGCTTTCAGGAGATGCAGGCTTCAAGGAGACACTATCTTCAAAGCTTCAAGTAGAAACGGTTCAGTTAAGACAACTGTTTTAGTTTAATCAAAAACACGAAAACTCCTCGTCATTAACGAACCATGAGTACACACCATTTTCAACAAACCATACAACTACAGTGATGATATTGAGAATCACCACGGTGATTCTACTCCCCCAAGTTTCTAAATCTCACCTGCTTACAACAATATGATATTTGCAACACAGTAACTAAATATAGACGAATCACTCATGTATCAACGAACAACCCTCACCACACATTTGACATACAATCACTAACATCCCCTCCGGATGGGAAGCCGTACAATCCCTCCTGATAACGACTTTAACCTAACAATCTGACCAAATGAAGCAAGAACAAGCCCTGAAGCTCTGGGGGGAACAGGGGGTTGTGGCTGACGGGAATCTGACGGGAAGCTTTATGTGTGAGAGCCGAGTGTATCGAGTTGTTATCTTTATATAACAGTTAGTTAGTTACTGATAACGGATGTGGGTTGTAATACGGGATGGAGCTTGTATGTTATCTTTCTTAGATCGAGGCGCGGTGCAAATTGCTGCGTGTATAGCCGTCGCGTCGTGGAGCTTGACGCAATCATTCCGTGCTCAAAAACCTGCCGTTCAAAATTTTATAACATGATTTAACGCGGGCTCTGGATAATGAAATTGACACAATTTGACGTACACATTAAATCCGGGATGAAGCCATGCATAAAGATTTCGCTCTACATAAAGCTGAAGTGAGAACAAAGGTCGATCAAAGTGGGATGTTGAGCGACCTAGTCCAGCTGCTGATATTGTAAGTTATCATTGCAACCTCTCTGCGCTCAGAGCTATAACTACACCAACATATATACAGTACTACAAAAGTAGTATAGAAGAACATGTCCATCATTATTACGGGGGAGACGTTTGATACAGCATAAGGTTATACTGTATGGCACGAAGTGTAATCGCATAGATAGTGATCCTTGACACTATAGTGAGTAGCACTATCTCACTATACTATTATAAACCATAGATATCAGATAGTAATCCCTGATATTGCGAAAACTATGAAGTTTTGTGTGCTCATATGGAGCGAAAACAAGATACCAGAGCCCCTGAGGGTTTGCTACTAAAAGCTTGTACAATGTTTGATAAAACTAGAGTTTATCCTGCATAGCTCCGCGTGTAAACAATTGCTCTGAGATTATAGTAATAATATAGTACGCTAGTATCAAAACTTACTTGATGCTTACATAGTAATCCTTAACCGGCGGCTTCTCTTTAATAAATTTTGGTAAGTTATACAGTAAAACTAGGTCCAGTCGTGATATCATGGATCACTTAGGTTCCACCAGAATATAGGTGTCCTCATAATTCTACGGCCTCAATTCATCTTTCATCTCGCACAACCCAGTTGATTGGGTCTGAGGTCACGTGATTATGAGCCTGAGGTCACGCAACTATGATAGAGCTTATTATTCGTTTCCCGGACATTGGACCAGGTGAGCTGGCATGCTTATTGTGAATGCAAGAATTGTGTCAATTTCATTATCCATGAGAGCCTGCGTTAAATCATGTTATAAAATTCTAAACGGCAGGTTTGTGAGCACGGAATGATTGCGTCAAGCTCCACGACGCGGCGACTATACACGCAGCAATTTGCACCGCGCCTCGATCTAAGAAAGATAATAACATACAAGATCCATCCCGTATAATAACGTACATCCGTCCTTCCGGAACAGAATTGACCACTAACAAATTGTGGCATTACTATCAGTATCACGATCGCAACTTGGGAGCAGAAATCCCAATGGCAAAACTAGTGCAAGTGGAGCCAAGTTAGCTATGTCGGCGATCATCATATTTAACATATTTGAAAGATTAAATCGACTTGAATAATTGAAGTCTATTTTAAACTATTTTCACAAATACCTACACATAAATTCATTTATTGAGACTGATGAAGATGTTGAACATCCAAAATATTTCGTTAATCTAAAGTCATAGTTTCAATTGTTAAGATATCAACAACAGAAGAGAAATAAGATGTACACCCTGTTAGTGGAAGTTTATTAATTCGTTTGCTTTCCACTTATCTCATACTGTTCAACTAGACTATGTGTAATTGTAATCTTAAAGCTGATATACAAATAGATATGTTTAGTTTTAGGTGACCTCAGACTCAATTGTTAGGTAGCACAATTGGAAAATATGCGGAGATTATCAGAGGCTGTTGAGGCCCCCCAGGTAACTCCTACGATCCGTTTTTTTTCTAGATGGTATATACTGTATACTATGGAACCTAGTAAGTGATCCATGATATCACGACAGGCCATATATTATACAGTGTAATTGAGTAATCCTTAAACGGCGACAGCGGCTTCTCTCTAATCAATTTTGGTTAACTTATAGTAAGCAAACATTTTTTCATTTGAATTGCGAACAAGTTCGTGATAAATCTGAATTTAAAAAAGTTCATATATATTGCATCATCATTAGTAATTTAAAATACTCGACTGTTTAGAATATTATAAGCTCCCAATTGCCAAATGCCAATCCATAGGTCGAATTGTGGAGGATTTCTAAAATTTCTAAAAACGTATCTGGGTTAGAGTTGTTCGACGGACAATACAAAGAATATTACGGAATAAACATAACATTATATTTATAACTAATAAAAGTGCCGTTATGAGACATGAGATAAGGCGAACGTGATCAGTAATATAAATTGCCATTTAATTGTCATTTTGGGAGGATATTTTGTCACACGAAACACTGAAAAAACTAGGATACGGGTATGATGCGGTCAAGCCGCTGCAGAGAAGCGCACGGATTGAGAATAATCTTTTAGTCATAGGCTCAAACGGTCATTATACCTTTCTCGCCTGTTATTTTTGTGCAGATGTTACTATTCTATTTCCATGGAAACATTTCTTAGCTCCTATCAGTCTTCGGGATTCCTTTTTGACGAGTCAATGCTACACCGAAACGGCAAGAACAAAGAAGGAGGAGAGACCTAATTGTACCGTACCAGAACCAAAAAAGGCAAATTTTGGAATTCTATAAATTATAGAATATAATACATGGGCCCTGGCTCCATAACATGAAGACTTTGTTTTAACTTGTATGAAAAGAATTATTTAAGGCCTTTTTTTCTAACATATTTAATGTTGTTCTTTTTTAGAAAAAACATTTTAAAGACAATGATTTGAAAAAAGACAATGATTTGAAAAAAGGCTAATGAAGGCTATAAACGAGGATTATATTTGCTTTGTTTCGGCTTTAATTGGACCGAGCCTTTCTAGACTCGTCATGTTATGATATTATTATTTATTATTCTATTTCCAAGGTATTTATTTTATAATAAGGGTGCTTTTTTAAAGATTCAAGTTTGAAAGACCGAAAATAGGGCCGCGGCCCGTGGACCACTTTTTAATCCTGATCGAACCAATCTTGACTTTTTATTTATGAGATTTAGATCGTTTCTTAGTTTAGAACGCGGAAAACCAAGTTAAACAGTTCTTTCAGCGTCACTAATAACAAAACTATGATTTACAAAGTTTGCTTCAATTACAAATTACACTTCTAAATAACAACAAAAAAAAGCCCTAAAACTACTTCAAAACGTACGTTTACAGTATACAGAATTTTTATCCAACAATCGTGTCCTTCAGGAAGTCAAACAACAAACATACTATCAACACTCTTTCCAAGAAACTTCATCATTAAATTAATAATTAAATTAATAAATTAATCCTCAGATAACCAACTATACAACTTCTTCACGCTTACTGAATGTTCTCAACATCTTCACCCGCCATTATCTGTTTCTCAACGTCCTCAAAGTCGAGGAAAAGGCTCTCCCGGGTGGTTATTCGTGGTGTTATCAGTGGGGTGGCGGTTGGGGTCATTCCTGGGACACGTGGTTGTGAGAATCAATATATTGGGTCATTCCTGGGACACGTGGTTATGAGAATCAATATATTGGGTCATTCCTGGGACACGTGGTTATGAGAATCAATATATTGTGGAATCTGAATAATTTAATAAATTGAAGTTTGATAACACAATAAAATATTAGAGCAAGGATTATGTTTAATTAGGATTAGACTTGTATAGTGAAAGATATAAATTGTACTGAAATTGATGTATAATTCTTTGGGGTCAACGAAAATTTAACATAATTATAGATCTAAAATAAATCTGGAGTAAACAGGAACAGATTGTTTTTATACATTTATTATAACACAAACCTCTACTCTCCATATCCAGCTGTGACATTCGGTCCTGGTGAGTGAGAAGGGTAACAGCGTCAGGTGTACCGTGACGTAGCGTGTTAAGGTAGTCTCCGAGGTCACGTGACTTTGATACGTCTAGTTCCTTTCCCAGTGCTGCCAGCACGTCCTGGTAAGGGGATGTAAATACTTAAATATAATTAATGAGCACAATGGATACAATGGATACAATTAAAGGAGGGACAAATCTGAAATCAATTAAGGAATTCTTGAAAATATCGCCCGTAAAAATGTTCAGACATAAACGATCGCAATGTACCAGATATAAAGATATAACATTTGAACGTAACCACGTATTATATTAATACGTTTTGGTACGTATTGGTACGTATTGGTACGTATTGGTACGTATTGGTACGTATTGGTACGTATTGGTACGTATTGATATGTATTGATACGTATTGATACGTATTGGTACATAATAACGTATTAATTATGCCTTTAATGCACCTCAGATTCATACTCCAGATTAGTTGGAGTATTAAGATCATCACACTGAATCACATTACTCCTCCTCTCTGCCTCCACACTTCTTCTCTCAAATTTCCCTGCCGTATTTGGTGGTGGTAGCTGGCGGCGGCTGTTGGTGTTTTCTCTTTTGATTCCCGCCTCTTCAGCGAGGGGGAATGTGACTGAGTTTTCTCGAGATTGGACTGAAAGTTTTGGTAGATGGTAAAAATTAAGATGTTCTGATTCAATGGTTTACGTCTATAATCTCCATGATAAGAGCAATAATTTAACGTATAACTCAGGGCAAGTGTACTATGTTTTTTATATGTATACAAAAATAACTCACATATTTCATTGCCGACACAACTCTCCCCAGGACACCAGGAGGGAGGGCCACGTAACATTACCTCCTCCTTTTTCTCCTTCTTCTCCTTTCGTTTCAGCTCCTCAGGCGGAGGAGTGGAGGGTAGAGTGTAGCCTGGCAAACCGGACTGAGGAGGAATAAAGGGTCATCTATTTGCATACTTTCGACTCTCTTTATCATGATTTTAAAATCGCACGATAAAATGCAACATTAATGAAATCAGAACAAATTCGCTGATCTATAAAATATATCAAGTTAAAGTTAAAGTTACTAATGTCAACACGAACCTTGACAAAACCCAAGAAAGACTGTCTCCAAGCCTGGGAGGACAAGATCTTAACGTCTGCAGTTAGAGGTCGTTTGAGCTCGTTCTCTTGGGCACCGCTCAAAGAGGCACGAGTAATCCTGGAATCATGGCATTTAGTCGGGCCTTTTGATTTTAAATACAGTACTTAAAGATTAATAACATAATATGTGAGTGCTCTAGCATATGTTACGTTGTGTTGTGCTGAAGTCTCCCTCAGTGGAGAATTAGATGTTCATTGTCATTATTAAATATCCAGTACGATCTTTACAGCTGGCCCTTTACCCCCATTTACACTGATTAACCCTGATTAACCCCAATTTACCCGTCTGAAAGTTCAATTCAGCGAATTGTAAACAAAATTTAAAGTTTAAAGAGCCCGGTTTAATCTACATGTCTTCTATGTAACTGGGACAGAAGGCAAGATCCATGTCATGACACTGAACAGAGGGCGGTTACTCCGTTAGCCGACTTGTAACTTGTTAGGTACCAACATTTTAACCAATTCGCTTGTTTTCAACAATCAAGGGAATGCTTGTGCCGCAATTTGGTTATAGAAACCGAACAGCAACTGTAAAGTGTCACTGGAAACAAGTTTTCGATAAAGATATCAAATTTTGATTTAACATCAAAATCTTGATCTTGATATTTCTTGAAAGTATCTTACTCAGGATTGGTAGGCATGCGCCGGATGAGGGGTGAGCGGGTAGATTCGGTGTAGTTCCTTCCAGATCGGTTAAATGAACTTCTGAGGAGTGATCGGCAATTAATTAACAATTCAGCTCATATTTTAAAGCTCTTAGAGACAGAAACTGGGGTTCAGATTTTAAACCAAATGCAGGAAAGGGCGTTTTATGCCGCAAGGACGCATTAATCAATTAGTAAACATGTCCTACCTAACAGACAGGGGCTGATCGTGAGATCTATCAACTTTAGGGGGAGTGTATGGTCTCTCCTGCAGCTGAGGCGATGAGATCCTTCCTGGAGACGTTACCCGGCCTGAAGATGACATCATGTTTGGAGATGATATCCTGGTCTCTCCAGATACTATCCGGTCCTGAGGTCCGGGGTGGGAACGTGAGGGAGTAGTTGCACGTGGAGTTATGCTGCGCGCACGTGGTGTTGTGATTGTTGGCGCGTTGCCACGGATGGATGTCACACTTTCACGGATTAGCTGTTCGGCAAGGTCCGGGTTGAAGGGTGAGGCCGTTTCTGGGATGGGGTCGTCTACAGGTTCTATCAGCATGAAACCTTGGAGGTAAAAGGGGGTTAGGAAGTGCTATTTATTCTGTTTGCGATATTTTAACTTTTTAAGTGTTTATTTTCATGAAGAGCTTTATTCGATGGATCAGTTGCTTTAAAATAAGGGTGGGCATTTCACAGCTGTCCAAAAAAAAACAAATACGTCTTGCTTCAGGCTCCTGCTGTAATCTACATAATATTGATTTTACACCTGTAAATAGCTTATTTAATGTAAAATTAAAAGAATTACATCCTTATTAAAAGTAAGACTGATAAAGTTATAGATGTCAATGAAAATGTTGGCACTGACCGTTATGTTGAAAGATTCCAGCAGTAGTTGGGTTATCAGTGCCCCGCGGAGAATACTCCTCAATCTTCACCGTGGACAGAAGTGCTCTTCCCATCTGAAATATATCGTATCATTATATTATGGTATTATCAAACAGAGATATCAATAATTCATTATCCAATTCAATTAATATTTTATATTTGTGACTATTAAGAGTACGTCTTGGGAACATGAAGTTCACACAATTATTTACTATAAATAATTGTTATTTCAAAATTTATGGGGCAGCGTTTCGCTATATGACAAGTTAACGTCATTCAGTGAAGATTTACGTGTCCACCAATAAATATAATATGAAACAATTATAAACATACCATGCTTGTTCTATTATGATGGAAAGATAGTGACGATAGTAGTGCATCCTGGGTTTGGACAGGATATTTTTTTTTTGAGCACAATAAAATTTTAAGTGTTGCAATTGGCAGAGCACAATTCATTGCTACCAATAATTTTTTCAAAAGCATTTTAACAAAACACATGATCTACTCCATTATAGGGGCAGGGATGAGGTTGTATGAAACTTCTGATAGCTGAATCTCACGTTTGGTGTCCACCTTCTTTCCTCGGTACCCTCGTAGAGCAATAAGAGTTGTTCTCAACATTGCAAATCTTATCCTAGTTCTCACGTGTCTTACTACATCGCAGTACCTTTCCTTCCTTTTTCTTGCAATGAGGTCTGCTACTCTGTTGACGAACTGCTTACACTCTTTAGACATTCCTCCAGATGTGAGGAATACAGCCGGGGTGAAGGTAGCCTTCTCCACATTCAACACTCTCTCCAAGTACTCGTCCTTCTTCTCCTTCTCGTTCTCTTCGTATACTTCTTGAAGAGTTTTTGTCCTGTTTGATAAGCAATTGGGGTGTGAAACCCTTATGTCAAGAAAGGTCTTATCAAATGGAGTCCAAACTCCTCTAGCAGATACATCAAGCCGAGCTTGGTCACCTGTTATAGTCTTGGGGTTGAGGCAGTCACCCTCATTTACCTTCTGTAGCTGGGGTTCAACTTTTACATCATGACATACCTCACGAAGGAGATTTGCCATTGTGTCTCTGATGTTGTTGTGGGTCATTATCACGTAGCCCCCTAGCTTACAGGTGAGAAGGTGGTCAAGATCACTTGTTTTCCCACATCCACAGGTGATGGGAGTGTTTGGTATCCACCAACTGTAGCGTAAGCAGACACTGTCTCGAAACTCCTCTTTGTTCAGAGTGTAGCCATACTGCTGAAGTGGCAATGTGTTAAGCCAACTGGACGCTCCCTTTTCTCTTGCTGCTAGTAATGCTCTCTTAGAGGAGGTGCCACATCTTTCAGCTATAGCAATAAACTTGGCTTGGAGCTCGGAATTCTTCAATGTTTTGATCATTTCTTTCCCCGATTTGGTGAGGTTACTGGATGCAGTGTAAACTTCCTGTTGGTCCACTATTGCTTTTGTTAGCTCAGTGGTGAGTAGCTTGGAGGCTGTATACTCAGAGTGGCATTCTTCGTGGGGTTTACCAATGCCCAATCCTCCCAATCTTATTGGTAGACTTAACACGTCTCTTTCTAAGTCTGTGACGATAGTATGGCTGACATTGGACAATATAAACTTCTCTAACGTTAAGAAAGTTCGCATTTTTCAGTTAATTTTGAAATGTAAATAACAAAAACATTTTGTAGAATTAAACGCGAGAACAAAAACGTATATTTTCATTATCCCGTTACGCTTATAATAAATTTCGTTAAAACAATCTTCCCGAAAAAGAGTTATTGTTAGCTTTTATAATGGGTTGGCTATCTGGCGCCAGGAACAAAACCACCATTGCCGCGAGAATAAAAGTAAAACCTCTAGCTGACAAAAACATAACTAAACAATTCATAACGTTAAAATTAAATAACGAAGGCACAATGAAAGGTTTTGTATTCATTGTTTAATAACTCAAACTTTCCAACTCAAATGAACAGTCAACAGACGCCAGTAAATAACACACTGACAGTAACGAAACCAAGCAGACCTATGTAAAGGAGGCTGGCCCAGTGCGATGCTCATTTCTTATCGCATCAAGATGAACTCAACAATAGTTTTATTGGCTTTGATCGGTATTCAGCTGGCTTATTGCCAAAAAAACCTCGCTTTGAGACGTCCCACTTCTCAGGTCAGTTAGAAGTTAATTTTTTAATGTTTATTGTTTAACAGGTAAAACTCAATTTCTTTCCTTTTTGACATTACCAAATGCTTATAATGTAGTAAAAAAGCGTCGAATAAGCTCAAACGAGCTTAAGATCTTTATTTTCAATGATTGATCTAGGCTCCTCATTCAATCAATCAGTTTATATATAGATATATGCATATATTTAATCAATTAATCAATTAACCAATTAATCAATCAACCAATTAATCAATTAATCAATTAACCAATTAGTGACTCAACCAATTAACCAATAAATAAATTAATCAATTCCAGAGTTCTACATACGGAGGATACATACGGCGCGGGCAATGTCCGGGTCCAAAAGGGGAGAGCGACAAAGCAGTGGACGGGTTTACCAATGGAGACTGGGGAGACAACTCGTGTACACACACCAAATATGCTAAAGATAACTGGTGGCAGGTTTTTAAGACTTTGTTAACAAAATAACTTGATTTTATTTTATTTTTTAATTGATTAACAAAAAATAACCTGATTAGTAAGATGAACATTTTTCATCTTAAACGAGTGTAGGACACTCAAAAAGGAATTTTTAATATTTATGTTACACTTCGACTCAAAAAACAATATAAAACAATGGAATTTTTAAAACTTCTTAATTTACATGCATCAAAATCAAACAAGAGTTTAGAAGAGTTAATTTGTGTTAAAACTGAGCGTAATTTTACTGTTCTTTTAGGTTACACTCGAAAAGGTCTACACAATTGAGGCGGTGAAGATTTTCAACAGAATAGATTGTGCTGGTTCTAGAATCATCGGCGCTAAAATCATGGTAGGAAAGGATGGAGCCTTTGAAGAATGTGCCACCGTTGAGGAATTAATTAAGGTAAGTGAAACATTCCAGTGTGCCCCAGGACTGGAGGGTGATGTCGTGAAGATTGTTCAGGATGAAGCTGTTTTGACACTTTGCGAGGTTCAGATATTTGGCAGTGAGCCAAGTGCGGATGAAGAGGAGGAAGAGGAGGAAGAGGAGGAAGAGGAGGAAGAGGAGGAAGAGGAGGAAGAGGACAAAAAGGAGAAGAAGAAGAAAGACAAAAAGGAGAAGAAAAAGGAGAAGAGAAAGGAGAAGAAAAAGAAGGACAAGAAGGACAAGAAGAAGAAAAAAGATGATGCTGAATAAAACATGATTAGTCAAATTGTCTAGAACAAAAAGTTTATGATTATTGTATAAGAATCTACAATTTGTTATAACTTAATTCAAAGCCATCTGTTTTATTTTTCAATATATGTATATGGTATCAATATCATGTGTTTTAAAAAATTAAAAAAATCTTACTGCCCGATGTTTATCAAACAGTTTCATCGTCAGAAATTATGTTTAGCCTGACATTAGCTCCATATTTATTAAAGTGAGGATTTTAAATTTAACGTGCAAAGTGTCATAATGCGTTTAGTTTTTCTTCGCTTCGATTAGGAAAGTAAATGTTCTGGTTTTAATTGATGGTATCTACGAAGGATGTTTTTTTTCAGGCACGTACACGATTTGTAATACATATAAAGTCAAACCTATACCGGGCCTAACGAAAAGAGCACGGTATAGAAAAAAGACACAGGCTAGCAATAAACACGTCTATGGATATTCATTGACCTAGGGATATTCATTGACCTTACTGGGTCGCGCTCAGCCTGTCATTCCACCTAATCTCTATTCGGCCTAATCTCTATTCACATGTTTATGAACATGATAGCCTGAGGTCCCCAGGTTATAAACAATAATGGTTTGACAGAATGAAATTATTTGTCTAATTACTTTGATCACAAGTCTAAATTTTATTCATGCTGCTCCGAATGGCTAAATCTCGTTCAAACCAAAGAAAGAAACTCAGAAATTGGTGACAATCATTATTCAGTGTCCCTTTTCTTCTTTTTCATCTTTTCGTCTTTTGTCTTTCTTCTTTTTATCTCTTTCATCTTTTTCATCTTTTTTGTCTTTTTTAAATCTTTTTTGTCTTTCTTGTCAATTTTGTACTCCTTCTCCTCCAATTGCACGTTTTGCATTTGGTATGAACAAGGCAAACAATTTCACATCCCCCCGTTGTGAACACTGTCCAGAAGAGGAAGAAACCTCGGAACACTTCATGTGTCACTGTATAGGATACATGACCATTAGGCTAAGAATTTTCGGTAATATATTTCTAACCTGGGAAGACATAGTATCAGCTAGAATTAGTACGGTTATAAAATTTATCGAGGCAACCAATAGACTATTATAGTGTATGTACTAAGAGCATCAACTTGCGGGTGAACATTTTATGTCTCAAAACCCAACATATTATACATCATTGGAAAGGTCTCATTGAGTAGAGTCGTTTGGTACCAAGTTTTGGGCAAATGGCTGTTCCTAGCGAAAGTTATAGCCCGTCAAAGTTCCAAAAATGACCATTTAAAAAATGGGGCGGGGCATCGTGTTCTTAAAGTTTTTGACGAATTTTTTTTACAGCATATTGTTTATCACATTTTTTTACACAAGAGTTGCTGTATGCCGTAATTTTTAATCCATTATTACAGTCACAATCAATTTATTTTGTCATCAGAGTTTGAATTACGTAAAGAGACAATCTGTATTCCGCATGGTTCCCGGCGCGCTAGTTTGTCTACAAATTATTAGTTCGCGCGTTACAATATCAGATTTACCCAGCAACGCACATGTTCGCACGTTAGTCAGGTAAGCGCCTCCCTAGCATCAGCTGTAGGAGTAACAGCAGTACAGATGTCAAACTGAAGGTTAAGTTACATGTCTAATGGAAGAGGGTATTTCTCTGTTATTTTTGTGTTTTCAAAACAAAAATAAACGGAGCATTTGATCGAAATTTATTTCAATTAAAATATAGATTAACAGTCATTTAGTCAAGCTAAAAAATCAGACTC